TAAGATCTACCTTTAATTTCAAGCAACACCTGAACGTTTTTTTTTCTATATTATTAAAATAAAATAATTTACTTTTTTTATACGTAAATAATCGAAAATAACAATGATTGTTTTTATGAATCCGATCGTACTTAAATCTTGTCGGATCTTTGGCGTTATGTCATTATAACTCATTGTTATATATATATATATAAATATTATTATATTTACATATAAAAATGAATGCCTGTATGTATATCCTGTATGCGCAGTTACGCATATTGCGATCAAACGTTGGTGAAATTTTGTCCGCACACCCTCCGATTTTGTGTAAGTCGTTATAAATTTGAAAATATTCCGTATGGGGCCCTAATTTTTGTAAATAATAAATAAATATAATTTCCATGTGCGCTCGTACACCATTTATCCGATTGCGATAAACCTTTGCCGTCAAATGTTTTTGAATTTTACATTTTTTTTTAAATATTCCATTTTGCGTTTGGGGCCCTATATTCGTTTATTAATATATAAGCTTTATAAATATAATTTCAAATCGTATAAGCTCATGTACCATTCATGCGATTGCGATACAACTTCTGTGAGTTGTTTTAGGCATGCATTTAAAGGTTTCTAAATTATTACAATTATTAAAAATATTCCGTTTTGAGACAGTGGTACTAAATTCATTTTTCTTATATGAGCTATATGAATATAATTTGTTTAAGATCGATGCATGGGTGGATAGAATTTTAATCGAGTATAAATAGTGACATTTCAATTTGTGTGTGACATAATAAGATGGTTTCTAAATTTGTATAACCATTTAACAATTTTCCGTTTGGGGCCTTGGGCCCTAAATTATTTATATGCCCTAAATGAGCTATCTATACTAATAAAAGGCGAAGCCCTCACTCACTCACTCACACACTCACTCACTTACACACTCACTCACACACTCATCGCTAATTCTCCAAATTCCCCTGTAGATAGAAAACCTGAATTTCGGCATGCTTATTCCTTACAGATCACATACAAAAGTTAAGCATTTTTCATTTCCAAACCCTATACCGTTTGTGGCTGGGGGCCCAAAATGTCGTTTGTTTCCTATATGAACAATATAACTAAAAAGATCAACATATACTGCTACATGAATTGATGGATCTTGACATTAAAACACATACTCTTTATTATCCATATTCAAATACCGAAGGCTACTTAACATACAACATCCTTACCTCTGGTGCCTGGGGCCCAATTCATTTTTTCTAATATAAGCATTATAAATATCAATATGCTTAGTACTACAACATGAATAGATGGATCTTGACCAAACTTAGTACACATACTCTTGATTATCAATATTCATATAATTAAGGGTACTAAATTCATAACATTTATCCATCTGGGGCCGGAAGCCACATTTAATTTTTTTCTTATCTATACTAATAAAAGGCAAAGCCCTCACTCATCTCTAATTCTCCAACTTCCCCTGTAGATAGAAGCCTGAACTTTAGCAGACTTATTCCTTACGACTTACTTACAAAAGTTGGGCTGGAGTCATTTTGAAACTCTATATTGTTTGGGGCCTGGGGCCAAAAGTGGCATCTATACTAATAAAAGGCAAAGCCCTCACTAACTCATCACTAATTCTCCAACGCACCCTGTAGATAGAAGCCTGAACTTTAGCAGACTTATTTCTTAGAATTTACTTACAAGAGTTTAGCAGGATTCATTTCGAAACTCTATACCATTTGTGGCCGGGGGCCTAAAATGTCATTTTTTTCAATATGAGCTTTATAAATAAAATGATCAACAAACAATGCTACATTAATAGATAGATTCTTGACCAAACTTAATATACATATATTTGATTATCCATACTCAAATACTTAAAGTTAATAATCTCAGTATAACATACCTCTAGGTCCGGGTGCCCCATTTCATTTTTTATCTTATCTATAATAATAAAAGACAATTCCCTCACTCACTCATCAATAATTCTCCAACTTCCCCTGTAGATAGGAGCCTCTAATTTATCAGGCTTATTCCTTACGGCTTACTTACAAAAGTTACTCAGGTTTCCTTTGGAAACTCTACCCAGAAAGGTCATAACCGGGGAGCCCTGAATTTTGATTTGTGTTTTTCTTATTTTATATACATTAATAAATTAACAATATATACTGCTACATGAATATCTGGATCTTGACCAAACTTAAATTACACACATTTGATAATCCATATTCAAATACGGAAAGATACTTAACACATAAGATGCATCCCTCTGGGCCGGGGCCCCTATCATTTTTCCTTACATAAGCTAGATAAATAGCAATAGGCTTAGTACTCCTATATGAATAGATGTACCCTGAGCAAACTTAGTACACATACTCTTCATTATCCATATGCAAATACAATAGGGTACATAACTCATAATATTCTTACCTCTGGGGCCAGGGGTCCCTTTTTTTATTTGTTTTATGACCTATATTCTCCAACGTCCCATGTAGATAGAAGCCTAAAATTGGGCAGACATATTCCTTACAGCTTACTGTCAAACGTTGAACAGGTTTAATTTCGAAACTCTACTTGGAACAGTCGCAACCGGGGGCCCCGAAGTTTAATTTTTTTTCCTCATATGATGTATATATATATATATATATATATATATATATATAATAAATACAATTACTGCTACATGACAATCTGGATCTTAAACAAACTTAATTTACATACATTTGATTATCCATATTCAGAATGATTAAGGGACTCATTAGAATTGGGATCTTACCAGGATCGGGGTCCCAAGGACAGACCCTACAAAATGTTGGCATTGATTTGAGGCAGGATTGATTTTCGCAAAGGTTCGCAATGTATAATCTCCAGAATATGCGGATACTTGATAATTTCATACTTTTTGTTTTTATTTAAAGAGGCTTTCCGCTGCGAAGGGCGGGTATTTTGCTAGTATAAATATAATTTCACACAAAGCTATTGCACTGGGATGGATCAGTCGCTACAAGTGTGTTGACTAAATTTTGAAAATATATGCTTCTCACATGGACACCGTTTTGTTACCTGCTCACGCTTCGAAAAAACTTCTAATTTATTCTAGTACGCAAAAGTCAGTAAACATTATAATATATTGTGTAAATAAAAAATACTTCAAAAAATATAATTAAATCACTAACAAATCTTTTTCTTTGAATTGCATTGCGACGCATACCAGGTACTCGCTAGTATATATATATATACATATATATATGGTCATGTTTTAAACCAATTTCAGTTCATCCTATCACACATAGATCCATTCAAATCATAAAACTTTTTTAAAGAATAACTTCATTAAAAAAAATATTTATAGTATGCGTTTTACTTAACTCTCAAAAAACAACAACAAAAATGTTTTAATTAAACTGTGGAAAAATTTAATCCAACAGTTTTATTTAAATTTAATTTTAATAAAAATGTGATTGAAAAAGAAAATAATAATAAAAAAAATGTCATTTTTTTTTAAAGAATGGATACAATGAACAATTAATGATAATATAAGAAATGACAAATCTTTAAGATTAAAAACAATAGATGTGTTGCTTTATTGAATATAAATGTAGTTTTGCTGTAAATAATTTAATTTCGTGAACTATTTACACGATTTACGAATTTACAATTAAAAGCGAATGATAAGTTGATCAAAAAAGAAGAAAAACAATTACGGCATTTCTCAAGCGGAAACAGAATGTATAATATATCTGAATAAAAAGTTAAATTATTTGTAAAGCACAAACAAAAATCTGCTTATAAAAACTCTGCTTTTATGACTATTGTGTGAATAAAGATGTTGTTAAATTCATAACAGGTTATTATAAATGACAATATAACCATGTTATAAAAAAATTTAAATTTTATTATTGTAGAGAACACATTCGTAACAAAAGCATTTTTGAAGACGAATAAATTTGTATGCTGTAAATGTTAAATGGAATCTCCCGAACACGTAGGATTTTTTTTTTTCTTTCTTAAAATCAGTTAAGGTGTACTTCAGGGTATTTCTTTATTTTAAACAAAAAATGTGCTCATTTATATTTTTAGTTATTGTTTATTCAATTAATTAAAAAATTACTCTTTTTTTTTTGTCTAGATCACTTTTAAATGATCACATAAAGCCACGTAGCAGACACTAATGCACGTTATTTCAAAAACTAATTAAAAATTCAAACCATTGTCTTTGCAAGATATACATGTAACATGTCCAAAATAACATAGTACTAATAAAAATAATGTTATTGTAATACTATTATTAAACATATTAAAAACATATCCGTATACTTGATCTCATTTATTAGAACTGCTCGCTTCTCATTTTGCCATTTACATTTCTAAAATGTTTTTCATTCTATGACTTCATAGAAAATGTCTTGACACTCATATGACGCACGATTTGCTGGGAGAACAACTGCCAGACTTTGATTAAACGAAACTGTAGTCCAACTCCAAACTACAAATATACAAAAAAACAAAACTACAAAAAAATTCGTACTGTTAAATTAAATACTTAATTTATTTAAACATTTACTGAAATGTTTAATTTTGTGTTGGCTCTGAATTAGAATATGTTAATTTCATTTATTTATACTTTTATTATTGTGCACGTGTTTCTAAAATATCTCAATTAAATTTTCTTTAATGTTAATCGAATTTTAGAATGTAAAGGAAGCAATACTTAAAAAGTTTTATTAACTCAAAAAAAATTTTTTTTTTTTTTTTAAATTTAAAAAGCATTTTAATTTTAATATCTGTAATACTGAATTTTGAAGAAAGCATTGCATTTTTTTAAATTTTAAATTTAAAATTAACACCTTGAAAACAAAATTATTTGCTCATATTTTTTACCAATAAAATGATGCTATTTTCTTTTTTAAAGTAAATTAATTACCAGTAAAGTTAAAACTTGTGTCACAATTAGAATTCTTTTATTTATGAGACAGGTGTTTACTAAAATGTGACTTAGAATTACCCAAAAATGAAATTGGAAACATATTTTAACTTATTATTTTTAATATCCCGAGAGTTTACATAGAATCCTTTCATTGCACATGTAGAATCAAATTTATTAAAAAAAAATACATTACATTCATTCAAGTAATCAAAGCTTCATGACTAAACAAATGTGACCATATAAACGTGTGTTTAACTTAATGTTTCCATTAATCAATCGTGTTGTAGATTGCATTAGGGTATATCATTCGTTTCATTCCTGTCATTGAATTGTCTAGTGTGGAATAGCTGTTGAGGTCCTGTATTTGGCCACCAGTAAGTGTTAACAGCTGTAATATTTCTAAACGCATGCTTGCGTCGGTATATGGCGAAACGTCCAAATAGCCGTAGTCTGAAGAAGCATTTCCTACTGTTTTCTTTATCAAAACTGTGTTCACATTCAAACAAACATAAAAATTGCATGTAGATTTTATGCTTCAACCCACGTCTTAAATATTAAGTAGCAAATTGATCTCATTTTTAAAAAAAAATAATACGTTGAAAAAATTAATTTAAAAATAAATAAATAAAAACCATGAAAAACAACTATTTACTTACACACAAAAAATAGAAATTTAACATTAGAAACATTACATAAATGTAGCGAGTGCCTAGATATAAAATAAAACTAATAATTTTTACATTTAAAACATCCACAAAACACGATATTTACCTTTCCTTTTTAAGGTGCAGCAGACAACGATAATACTAATTATCACAAATAGACTTCCACTTGCCAAAGAAGATATCCATATTATCCTGTTTCTGTTAGAGCCATCGGCTACACGCATACAAACATATGTCAATTCATACATTAAAAAAAATAAGCTGTTGCTAAAAGTGCATGATTATCTTTTTTGTTTAAAATTTAAAATTCTACAAGCTTTTTCTAATTCAATGAACCTTGTGATGTGATAGACAGTGAAGTATTTAACTTAGCGCAGAATTATTATTATTTTTTTTTATTTAATGACTGTAAAACAAACAAAAATATGTTTAAAACACAAATAAACAAATAAACGCACACTCTCTCACACTCACACATACACATACACATACAAATACAATATGTTTACTTACGTTTCGGCTTATAAAATACAGGGTCACTTTCCCAGCCCAAAATATGTGTTGCTCGACAAATGAAGCCTAGAAATTAATACACATAGTGTTATGTGTAAAAGAAAAGGGGGAAATGTCAATCGACACATTTATTTAGAAATGTGGCCGAAGTAATATTGTATTATGTCATGGACCTCATCAGGGTCAATTTTTTTTTAGTAAAAATAAGTATATTTCCATTGCCAAAGTTTACACACATTAAACGTATAAATTTTTAAAAATTAACTTTGCATGTGAAAAATATTAATCTACCCTGTTCAGCAAATTGAACACTTGCTTAGAAAATTAAATGGATTAAAAAAGTTTTGTATGTTCGATATTTCGAATTTTTTTTAACATTATTTTTTTAATTATCTTTTTTTTTAAATTAAAATTATCAACGCCTTGCACTTTTAAAGTAGAAATAGGCTTTCTTGTATGTTTACCCTATATAGTATTAGCATTTCGTAAATTTAATTTTAAAAAATACAAAATAATACGAAGGTGTGTGTACAATACCTGTCTCCAACATTGTAGCGTTAACTTCAACATTTGATGATTTGTATCGCCTTATCTCTGCTCCGTGGAGGTCATACAAAACAATGACGTCATGTGTGATATTATCGCTACTCTTACAAATACAGTTAACTTTTTTTCTTTTCTTCACGTCGTCATTGCAATCTACAAGGGTCACGCTTGGTTTCTCTATCAATCATGAAATAACATATCCAGTTATAGAAATAAAAATTGAGAACACAATTTAATTGACAAATTCAAGCAATGACGAATTTGAATGAAACAAAATATAATATATATATATATATATATATATATATATATATATATATATATATTAAAAAATATAAATAAATTAGATATACTAACCTAATGCTATAAAGAGATTATATCTCGTCCCATACAATATATATATATATATATATATATATATATATTAAAAAATATTAATAACTTAGATTTACTAACCTAATGCTATGAAGAGATTATAGCTCGTCCCATACAGAACATCTGTGTCATTGTTGGTGATATGTGGGAACATAGTGACATTTATGTCATATTTTCCTGGTGTTAGAATTGACCTTGGAAGCAATAAAGTGCACACGCTTGTAAAATAAGTAGGGATGCCTTGAATTTTCTTGTTCTTTTCTTCCATATGTAGCTTTTTTATAAGAAATATATAATTATTAAGTTGTATTTGTCCATGTCTAGATTGTTAGCAATTCGTCAAAAGAAGAAAGGATGTGTTGTGTTTCTGAAAGCACTAATTTCAAAATAATGTAACAAGAAAATAAGATTAAAACACTAAAAATCCAGGCTAATGTTTGTGTTGAGTTGTAGTCAAATAAAAAAAAAATAACCTTATAATATTTCAAATTATAAATATAAATCAGAATTCTGTTAGAAATCAGCACAAATCAGCTATATATATATTCCTATTCTAAGACTTGATATGTGAAAGTCGCAACATTATGACTGCTGTTGCAAATATTGCTTTTAAATGATGGCATTGCCAATTTAAAATAAATGCAATTTTAAAAAAATTAATACAATTTACCCATGCTATACAGTCAAGATTTTGACATTATTAATTTAAGTTCTTAGTTAACATGATGTAAAAAAAAAAAATTCTTGTCTAATTTTTAAACATTTTTCATACTTATTTGGTGATATATTTAAAGTGTTTTATATAGGTGACATAACTATGTGAAAATTATTTTTAAATTTTAAGAATGATATTAATATTGATGTTATAATAAGGAAACAATGAGTACCAATTTCAAATCTCTTAAAATAGGTCGGCAGACTAAATATTCGAGGGCCATATTTATACTCCGGCTATTTTAGCATTGAAAAAACATATTGTATTTGAGAGAGATAGAAGGAGAAAAATGTATATATATATATATATATATATATATATATATATATATATATATATACAGAGAAAGATAAAGATAGAGAGAGAGAGAGAGAGAGACAGACAGACAGACAAAAAAACAAATAGAGATAAAAATATTCGAGGGCCATATTTATACTCTGTCTATTTTAGAATAGAAAAAACATATTGTATTTGAGAGAGATAGAAGAAGAAAAATGTATATATATATATATATATATATATATATATATATATATATATACAGAGAAAGATAAAGATAGAGAGAGAGAGAGAGACAGACAGACAGACCGACGGAAAATCAAATAGTGATAAAAAGACAAAGAAAGAAAGACATACATTCATACATACAGAGACACAAACAAAGACCAAGAGAAACGACAGAGATGGAGAGATGAAAAGAGTGCTCATGTTGTTTTAGGCCACTGGAGAATTAGATTGCAACTGAATTGATTTTTTAAAAATGTATTTAAAATGGTACTTACGATTTGTAAGGTATTATTTATATAAAAATTGCATCTTCCTTGTGGATAAATTCTTTTCGTCGAACAAACTAAATTTACTCCATTTTCCGATGTATTTGATTCACATGAAAATCCTTTTGCAGTAGCTGTGTGTTAGAAAGTTTAGTTCTATTTTCCAAATATATATATATATATATATATATATATATATATATTACATATGTGTATATATATATATATCTTTATACACAAATTTTTAGCTTTCAGAACTAAAATGGTGCATACAAGTAACCAATTTTCCTTCCATCCCTTGAAATTAGGCATATCCACTTGGGGTACATTTAGATATATCATAAAGGTATACTCACAAAAGACAGTTGCATTGCAATGAAGCCTGTTTTCATGGGGGCGGTCTGCAATCCAAGCTGAAAAACTCAGATGGTTGGTATAGTTATTCCTAGAGACATTTTTTATCGTCAGTGTCAAAATTATTTTTCCCCTAAGTTCTCCAAAGTTAACGTTGTAGACATCAGATGAATATTCTTGACACGTCTGGTTTAATAGTAAACAATGTCCGATGTTCTTCTCATTAACGCCAACGTTAATCCTTCTTGAGAAGTCGATGTATTTTCGATACATAAAAATTAATCGGTATTCCTTGAATTCTTCGGCAGGATTACATTTTGTCTCGTTTTCGTCAACTAATAAAAAAATTAAAAGGTTCTTTGTACTTGTTTATTCTATGCATAATGGCGTGTCTATATTTATGACAACACAAATAAATAAACGTAATTGTTAATATGTTGTAACAATGCAATATAATCTCAATTTTTTTTTTTTTTTAAAGTTTATATCTGATCCATGGGGATTCATGATAGGCAATGTATACACATGGATTTGCGTCTAATTAGTATTATTAAATACTGTCACTTTTAACATGTAAATTACACTAATGAAAAATGGTATAAATTTTGCTAGAGTGTTTGTGATGTTTGGGTCGAAAAATAGTAGAAATAATATAATTGTATCTGTAAAAATTTAGTGCGCAGTAACCTTTCTGAAGGAAAAAAAATAAATTGCTTATATTGGGTTAAAAAATAAAACGTATATGGGGTGAAATAAGTTTCAATTCAGGAGTTTTATTTTTATCGTTTTATTTAAGTAAATCATAAATTCCGTTAAATATATATAACTTAATTATTTATAAATGTTATTTTGAAACTTACCAATATTTCTGCAGAATACGCATATAATTTGACCAATTATGTAAACTAATGCATTGATGTCAATAACCATGATTTGAAAACTTGTTTTACTGTCTAAGATACTCTTCTCTATATTATTATAAATACTTTTTTTTTAATGCATTATAGTTCATTTAAAAATAAAATAAACAACAACATGTATGTTAAAACAAATATTCTGTGACTATGTATAAATAATGTATATTTTCAAAAGAAATTACAAATTACGATTAGGGAATTAAAAAAAAAAATCATTTTTAAAGAAATACTATTCGTGTTACACTATTTTAACTAAGTGTATAAGTTATCTAGTTTTCTATTTTAAAAAAAAATACGCTAAAGCCCTGAAAAATATAATTAACTGTATTTTTGTAAATATCCTTGAAAAACAAATACCCTAGTATCCTCGAGAAATTAAAATAACATTAAACACTTAGGACATTAACATATATTTTTTTATGAACAGTTCGTCACACACATTACATAAATTATTTAAAGCACTTTAGAAAATTAAATATAAGTAGTATCCGGTATGAAGTTTTCATTTCCTGCTACTGTTCATAGCATTTCTTTTATTTCAATACAACACGTGTTACTGAATATGTCTCCGTGAATTGAGCTCTTTAAAATTTCTTTACACGTTATATTTGGTAGTTTTCTGAAATTTGGAATATAAGTACATAGTTCCAATCAATTGAGGACAGTTTTACATATAGCGTGTAACAGAGTTTGACCACAAATTACCAGCCCTCTCCCCGTACCGACTCCCTTCACATTTGATACTCATTCTTTCAACACCTAAAATCTTTCCCCTTAAATCATTTTTTTTTTAAATTTATATTTCACAAACAACTTAGAAACCAATAGACTGTCTTAGTATTATGCCATACAATTAATGCCTAACTGTATTCTTTGTTCACATACTGACATAGTGTGATTTTCTGATTTCGACCAAAACCGAATCCATTTGAAAGTTAAAAATGACTTAAAATCTAGTGACGCTACCAACTTCATCGCTACATAAGAGTATACCTCAATAGTTGTAATGCTGTTAAAAATTAGTTGGAAATGTTAGATTTTTGCAAGCAGTTTAGACTAGATGGGTGAAGGAATGTAGTTAAAAATATTTAAGGCGTCTGAAAAATTCAAACATTTTAAATTTGTAAAACTTTTTCCTAGAAGCAAAGTGTATTGCGCGACCAATGCATTAAAAAAGGATCATAATTGTTCTATTTGATGAAATAACACAAAAGTTGCTTTAGGATAATTCAATTTATAAAAGTCAGCTGTTTATCTAGCTTTAAAAAATGATTAAAATTGTAACTTATTAAGAAGCATTTTATTTCGCCGCTGAGTTTCTTTAATGCTAATCTTATGAAATTCTCAATATTAATTTGTCTATTTATTTTTATTTTCGAATAAAAGAGCATATTACATCATCTTACATAGAATGTATATGGTACATTAGACTTTTATAACATTTTCAGACACACATTAAATTTTTTGCAATTTGCTTAAAATCATATATTTTTTCTTAGGTTATAATTTCTATTGTCAACTTGTTGTATGACAAAGAAAGATGTGTGTTCTGGGCATAATGAAAATCCTTGTCATTATCGTAACAATAACAAGTAAGATATAAATTTATGTGTGTTATTTAAGTGTGATGTGGAAAATGTTAAATGTTCAAGCCAATTTTAATATATATAATGTGTATAATATAATATATAAAATGTAATATGGATCGAATATTATCATATTTAATGACAAAATTTTAATCACACATCCATATGTTGTGACATTTAATCGTGTTTATATGCATATGCTTATATGTATGATTATATAAAAAATGTTTTCTAGTTTGTTTTTGTTCACAAAACTAAGTCTTGTTTTATAGTTTTTTTAAATTCCTAATTAATGGTCTTTTCATTCTTTTCATTCTTTTCATGTGTTTTAATCTCCAAGAAATATTCTTGTTTCGTTCGTTTATTTTGTATCTTCTTTTCT